ACATATACATATACATACATATATATATATATATACATATATATAATATATACATACATATATATACACACACACACACACACACACATATTTATATATACATAAATGAGTATATGTATATATATGTATGTATAATCCACAATTCAAAGGTACATATCTATCCGTTAAAGTGTATAGATTAAAAATAAAAGCTTCTGAAGCTTACCCAAATCAAGTCATTCGCAGCCAGGCACCAGCATTTGTGATGCAACAAAAGCATTCATGCGTTGTGAGGCAGACATTGACTGCACGGCCGTGTGTACATATAGAAACACAATTGCGTTCTTCATTATTTTTCTGTATTTACCTGAAAGAACACGTCAACGCTTGCTCAAGTCCACCCTCTACTGTGGATGTACTTCAAGAGATACTTCAAAGCACTATAAGTATATTATTGTAGAATATGTACTATAACACTATAATACTAATGACTAATATATAGGATTGATACATATGTTTTGATATAGAAGCGCTGACTGGACTTGAGAGAGAGAGAGTGAGAGGGTTTGGGTGTACAATAGCAAATGTCTCAGGTTGAGCCTGCGCATTGATACTATTTACATAGCCTTCTTCTATATGAATATTCACGACATAAAAAGGCTAAATGCTATGGAGACTAAAGAGTCTATGCAAATGTAAATCCTATTCTAAACCCTAACTCCCCCAAAACCCAAGAATCCTAAAACCCCAAACCCTAAACCCACCGGCAAAATACAAGGCTCGCATAGGGTACATATCAGTAAAGTGTGCAGCCAAAACGCTTTTCACGAGGCTGTCCGCTGTGTACTTACTGTGAAATATTTTTTTACCAAAATAGAATTATCGGGACTGATATCAGTTCGTATTGGCATTTTTTGTGTGTGTTTTTGGGGGCTTGATGAAATTTTCAGATTTTGAACCCCACATTAGTACTGGAATAAACCTGATTGGAACGTAACCAACAAAACGATGACATGATTGCTATTCTCATTACGCTTCACGTTTTAAAATGTATAAATTCCGAATTTACATACTTTTTATTTCAACGTTTATATTGTGATGGCCCCCGACAGTTGTTTCTATGGGTCCATATTTGGAGCCTCTAAGTGCAAAGGTTTAGAGAAATAATGCCAAAGGTGTCTACATATCGATTTCGAAGAAGTAGGTCGGATTGTTTGGACTATTTTAACCTTTTTATGTAAACGTTTTTAAAAAGGTTATCAACCGAGTTAAAAGCGTTTACGTTATACTTTTATAATTTTGGACTATCGGATTGAGGTTAGGTTTTATGTCGTGTAGCGTAAATAAACAAATAACTAGAGTGCGCTTGCTGTGGACGATATGTACTGTTCTGACATCAACCACCTTACACACACCTAAACGGATTGGTATATACGCTTGGGGTTCTGGGTTGTCATATAGAGCTCAGGCTCTCTAAAGTCTAATGCTAGGATGTACAAGTGAATACGTATTGTACCAAAGGAACTAGTTGGATACCCCAATTGCGATAGAGTGAAACACCAAAACTCTATACATAAATAAACCATAGCAACCGTTTATACTATACTATCAAGAAGCACTGACTTGAGCCATATCCTATACTTCAAGAAGAGCACATAGAAACTATACGCTCAAGTATACACATGCAACCGTACAAAACATTAGTTTACAACACAGCAATAGAGCAGAATGGCTGGTGTGTTATGGCGACGGTTCCCATTCTTCGACAAAAGCACTGTCAGTGATCCCGATGACCCCGACCAAGATTTTGTGTTCGAGGTAAGCCCACAACAGTACACCTTGATTCAGACGTGTATTCTATGATAATTAGTACAGACGTCGTGCCATCCACTATTGTATTATATATATATATATATACATATACAAACACACACACACACACACAG